TTAAGTGCCTAATTGAGGGTTAATAATAAAGAATTCAGACGTTGTGCATGTTGGCAACGTGAACAGCCACTACTGTAAATACTGGGGACCTCTGTCGAGTAAAGTGTATGTGACGTAACATAGGATGTAAATTATTGCTATTTTTATATAAGAACACCAACTCCTACTTGAACTACTCTATAGTAACATTCTACTCGTCCGATAAATCATTGGTCTAGACTCTAGAGGCAAAATTAGAGCCTTGGACCAATGAACCAATGGAACAGTGAACCGAACTCTTAAGACAATACAACTAGGAGGAATAATAAACATTAAAGATAATAAAGGATAATTATTAAGCAAAACGCCTGACAACGTGACTCAGTGGCGTCACCACCCACTTGTTTCGGTCAGTAGCTAATGTGACCTCGACATAAACACCGCCGCCGCCTCTCGACAGTGTCCTCGATGCCTGACGGCGACCGTGACCAAAGAGGTCTTCATCGGTAAAATTCCAAGTAACGAGGCACTCGGCTCCTTTTGCAGTATTGAGCATAAGTCCACTCGACACGAATTGAAATCCTCCCGAACTTTTAGGTTTCCGGGGATGACGAGAAAAAACCCGACCTTTAAAAGGAAATCTCTGTAAACCTCATCACTAGCATAATGACTCCTTTGAAGATGATTTTTGTGGGGCAGTGAAGCAGTCTCGGCTGCGTTCATGACGGAGGTGAACACAGTGTACACATTCCAAGTACCTGACCTGTTTACTGTGGCATTTATTCATGTTTAGATATTTTACACACGTATTTTATAAAATTTTGTGCGTAAACTACAGTCACAATATTACATTTGAATAATTTATAGCATAAAGACGGTAAAATGTGGGCCTCGACCTCCAACCTCCGGCAACTCTGGGCCGCCCCCCAACACCGGACGCTGCCTCACTTTGATGCTACATTTTTTTGCGCGGTCTCTTTTGACATATTCTTTTTATTTCTGATTTGTTAAGGGCCCGAGCCTTTGATCGCTGAGTGGCCATTGTCTCAAGGCCGCCCAGCACCAGGCTCATTTGTTGTTGAGAGAGCCCTTAGGAGCCCTTATTTGTTTTTGTCTTGTTTTTGTTCCTTCTTGTTGAACTTCCTTGGATCAGCTTCAGTAGTTTTTTGTTACTTTTTTTCTTGGCTTTGTCTTGACTGCCTCTGTGTTAATGTGCTCTCTACAAAAAAAGGTTTATAGTGTGTATGTACTTTGATGCCTTCACTGGCGATAATTAGGGTGAGAATATTTTTTATCGTTATGGTAATATGTCTGGACAATGCTTGAAGACTTCTTTTCACAACCGCTTCCTAGCAATTTCCTCTACATAGCCGTGATGTAAGACGTATATTAATGCATAATACAATATTTTATACTACAATGCGTAAACGTGTATAATGTATAGTCCGGAATATTTATTGCTTTTAAATCTATAATTTTACGTGAATATTACAAACCTATGTCGGTCAAGACTGGGTTATTATTATTGTGGTGATTTCAGTGACTTCGTCGCGAACAAAAGCCTCAAGATCAATGCTCTCTTGTGCTTCCTCGACTGTGGTATATGAGTACACGATTTTAGAATAAAAATATGAAATCCTCTCTCTTCTAGCAGTAGACCCCCCCCGCCACTCCCTTTTCCTGGGGCGTCTTGATGACCTACCCACAAGCCTTTGTATCTTATCAATTCACTTCTTTTTACTATTTGCGTAATTTTTTTTTGGTAGTTATGAATTATTTGCTTAGTCTTGCCTAATATTGTCTTCTTTGTAGCCAGGGGCCACGTGTCTACTGTTTTGATGTCATGTCTCACTTCTGTAGTCTCTCTTTATCCTTCTCCGGCTGTCGTGTCTCTCTCTCTCTCTCTCTCTCTCTCTCTCTCTCCACTGTAGCCTAGTATGGTCTCTTACTGTAGCCTACCACCACTTATCTCCCCTCACTGTAGCCTGGCACCACGTCTCTCCCATCACTGTAGCCTGGCACCACGTCTCTCCCATCACTGTAGCCTGGCACCACGTCTCTCCCTCACTGTAGCCTGGCACCACGTCTCTCCCATCACTGTAGCCTGGCACCACGTCTCCCATCACTGTAGCCTGGCACCACTTATCTCCCTCACTGTAGCCTGGCACCACGTCTCCCATCACTGTAGCCTGGCACCACTTATCTCCCCTAGCCTGGCACCACGTCTCTCCTCACTGTGGCACCGTCTCTCCCTCACTGTAGCCTGGCACCACGTCTCTGTGTAAGCTATCCGATGGCCTCCTCAGTACACAACCCCTCAGGTTGTCGTCTTTCTGCTTCAGGGGTTGAGGAGTGGGGAAGGGAGGAGGGTGGGAGTGAATGGGGAAGGGAAGGAGAGTAGGAGGGAGGGAGGGGGGAGAAAGGAGAAGAAGGTAAGGAAAGAGAAATTGTGAGAAGGGTCCCACAACTTACCTCTCTCTCTCTCTCTCTCTCTCTCTCTCTCTCTCTCTCTCTCTCTCTCTCTCTCCTCCGTCCATCAAAGGCCGCCGGTCCCTGAGGCCATCTGGTAAGAGTCTTGTGTTTGAGAGCTTAAAATGAAAGCTGAAGAGGTCTTCAGTGCTCGTCGGAGCCGAGGGAAGTGTACGGCTTTCACATCGTCGGCCTAATCTTCCCTGCAAGATCGGGATAGATGGAAGTGTGGAAGGGCGTGGGGAGGGGGGGTGAGGAATGGGAGGGAAAGGGTAGAAAGGGTGAGGGAGGGAAAGAGAAGGGATGAGGGAGGTAGTGAAGGACGGAGAGGAAGAAGAGAGAGGGAGGGAGGGAGGGGGGGGGCAGTGATTTTTGTTCTCAAGCTCTTTTCCCTCATCTTATTTTTTCTGTCTGACTTGTTAAATCTTAATTAGGAGAGTGGGAGGGTTGGGAGGAGGAGGAAGAGGAGGAGTAGGAGGAGGAGGGGGAGGAAGAGGGCGTTTGATGCTTGAGTGGTTTGTTGTTATTCAGGAGACGATGACTCTTATTAATTAATTCTAAAGGTTTGGGTATACTCGACAACGTAGAAAACAGATGGGTGGAAGAAAAATAAAAAAAGAATATATATATATATATATATATATATATATATATATATATATATATATATATATATATATATATATATATATATATATATATATATATATATCACGTTGAATACTGACTGACAAATATTTACTTTCAGCCCGTCGGTTATAACCAAAGGATGCAACAGTGTAAAACAAATAGTGAATAACGGTGAAAATGTGTTTTGTATGACTGCTTGAGTACGATGACCTTACCCATCCATCCATTCATTCATCCATCTACCCACCCTGAGTACAGTATCACCGTACTTATGGCAATGGGTAAATTTGCTGAATTCACAGGATTAAGATATCGTTCTTTAGGGATTTTAGTCATCGTACTCAAGGGCTTAAGTTATCGTCCTCAGGCCTGGGGATATCGTAGTCTGTAGGCTAGTTCATGGTAGCTTCCGCAGGGGGTTGACATCGTATTGAAGCGGCAAAAAGATTTAAGTCTTTGCTTGAATGCAAGAAAAACGGCATGAAAAAATAAGAGTTTAAAAAATTAAAAAAAAAATATAATCAACTCAGTTTAGTTCTTGCTTTACGCTCGACAAAGAAAAAAACGTGCGGAAAGATGAAAGCTTTACACACACACACACACACACCCCCACAAACACACACACCCACAAACACACACACACACACACCCCCACAAACACACACACACACACACCCACACCCGCAAACACACAGCTCACTCGTACCTTCACAAGCGCATTTTGGCGTTGTAACCCGCGGGCAACATTGTAGGAACAGCATCCCACGTTCAAACAGTCTTACGCATCCCAGCACACGAGCAAACACCCCAGCTCTCTCTCCTTCCTCTCCCTACCACCTCACCATCCTCTCTTCCTCCCCCACCACCACCTCACCTCTCCTTCCTCTCTTCCTCCTCACCCCACCACCTCACCTTCCTCTCTTCCTCCCCCACCACCTCACCTTCCTCTCCATTCTCCCCCACCACCTCACCTCACATCCCCCCTCCCCAACCACCCGACTTCCCTATATCTCTCCTTTCTCTCACCAACCACCTCATCTCCTTCCCTCCCTCCGCCAACACATCCCTGACACAGGCACTGATGGAGTGACGGATGCACATTCCCCGTATACAGATGATGCTTATTCATCCATTAAATATGACGAAACTGCTCATTCTCTTTGATCTTGTGTGTCGTGTATGAAAGGAAGGTTGGGAGGGAGGAGGGGGAGGAAGAGGGCTCCAAGTGGGTTGGTTAACCAGGGAGGGAACGAGAGACAGAGGGAGAAAGGGAGAGGAGAGAGAGGGAGAGAGAAAGAAAGAGAATAGATGAGAAGAAAGGCTAAGGAAGAAGAGTTGAAAATACGCGATTGTGTAGAAGTTAATCCATTGTTTGTGACACACACACACACACACACACTGTAGGTAATAAGCAGTAGGCAGCTACCAAACAGGGAGGTACTACCGCCTGGGAAGATATTGGAAGCATAATGTGTTGTCTAATGGTAGACCCTGCTGCCATATGACATCACGAAAATTGTGACCAAGTCCCAGGTTGCTGATTTGACTTTCTGCCTCATTTACACACAATTGCAGGGTTTCAATTGTTACTCTTACTATTGACAACACAACATACCTATATCGTTTCTCACTATTGATCTCTTTTTAATTTTTGTATTTCTTTATTATTATTATTATTATTATTATTATTATTATTATTATTATTATTAATCAGTAGTGTTATTATTATTATTGTCATTATTATTTAATTTTTTATTTTTTATTATAAATTTTATGTACTATGAACCATTTATTATTGTTATTGTTATTATTTAAAAATTTTCGCCCCCCGGGTCCCGATGGTGTAGGTACAGGGTAAACTTGTTGTATATGACTTTTATTTATTTTTAAACTAAACACAGCCATAGATAAATAAATAACTAGTGAAGGTGCAATATAACCTACCGTACTGCACATGGAATGAATATAAGCGAATAAAAATGGCATAAATTTAATGTAATAAGAGTAAAGTTAAACACTGAATTAAAATAAAGAAAATTACGATAGTAAATGCCAGTGGAAGTATTAAAATAGTCCCAAGTATGAGTAAATGAAATTGTAAATAAAGTTATAGAAAATTTTGCTCAAATGAATGGCATAAACTGAATGAGAAAAAAGCCAGACAAACCATTAAAGATTATAAGGAGCCTTAGGTGTGTAAAGTCTGTTGACAGTAAGACGACATTGTTACTCAGATGTATGATGCAAGGTTGTCACTTACTAGCCTTTACCTGTACTGAGAATGTTGTGAACCAGGAGGCTAGAGAGAAGGTTGAACGCACGGCGGCAGTGTATCACATCATGAGGGAGGAGACAGGCAGCTACAGAGGCAACACAATGCCACAGTCCATCACCGTCACCTCCTTGATACACTTGTGGTTGGCTACTGCCTGTACTACATCCAGGCCGCTCTCTACATGACCGAAGGCCCAGTACCAGTCCCTGTTAACGCAGTCTCTGGTTGTGATGCAATACTGAACACTCTTGTTGCTCTCAGGGCCATGCAGTGCCCTGACGATGCCCGCCCTGGCTGGTCTTCTGTACTCTACACGGTTGGTCAGTCCCTGCAGTAATGGTGTCCCCCCCTGTCCGTCGTTGTAGTCGTAGTCACCGCCGCCTACCATCTCAAACTCGGTGCCTTTATTCCACACTCCCAGCACCCGCGTGTTGGCGTAAGTTGGTCCACGTTGGCCCATACACACCAGTCGGAACTGCTTCGACAATCCTGTTTCGGGCCTCAGACGAATGTAGACCCGCCCGCGGGTTGACCCGGCCCATCCGAAGTCCAGGAATACCAGCGTGGAGGAGGGGTGAATTAGGTCTGCCAGAGCATCGTGCTGAAAAGGACGTGAATAATTGCATTCTTATCTCTACAGATACATACTGTAACTTGTTCATATGGCATGGCACTTTTTTTTTTTTTTTTTTTTTTTTACGGGCATTAGACCACCCGGGCACAGGTCATTTATAATGACCCACATCATGGCCTGGGGGGCGAAAATATAATAAAATAATAATAATTATTATGATGATGATAATAGTAATAATAGTAATAAAATTAATAAAAATATATAAAATAAATAATTATAAAAAAGTAATAATATAAATTTATAAAAAAATATAAATAATAATAATAATAATACCCCGTGTAATAATAAAAAGCCATAAATAAAAAAAAATATAAATAGTGAGAAATGATAGATGTATGTTGTGTTGTCAATGGTAAGAGAAACAATTGAGACCCTGCAATTGTGTGTAAATGAGGCAGAAAGTCAGATCAGTAACCTGGGGCGTCACAATTTTCGTGATGCCATATGGCAGCAGGGTCTACCATTAGACAACACATTATGCTTCCAACATCTTTCCAGGCGGTAGTACCTCCCTGTTTGGTAGCTGCCTACTACCGACTGTAGTGGGCAAGGAACTGCCATGCTTTGTGGATGCTCGAGTGTATTTCATGTTGTCAGTGATGTCCAGAGTAACAAGAATCGGGAAATATTAAGAAAAGAATAAAACAAAAATTATCCTGGATGATTTAAGTTTAATCTACATTCGTAGAAAGTGCATGTTCTTTTTCTTCCCGTTAACCATTTACTGGTGAACTCTTGAGCGACGAGTAACTTAAAGGACGCCTTACAAGTAGTTCCCAGAAAATATCTCGATCATCCACTATTGAGTTACACGCACTGCGGGAGCCAGTTTAGTAGAGAAGTTAGAGAAGAGAAGCGTGAGTGCTGAACCAGGCAGAGGGCGTCACTGACTGATAGGTACTCAGTCAATAATGCTTGAGCTTCTTATTTAATCTATTTCCACAACCCCAAGACTCAGTATTTCTCGTGTACTCGACAAGAGTGTGACTAATTTAATCGGTGATTCAAAAGACATAACGAGTCGGGAGTGTTTACTTGTCAACAGTCTGTGATGCCGATTCTGTATAGGATCACTCACCGTTGCTTGACTAGTCTCAGGTTCGTGACCCGTCATAGGTTAAGTGACTTGAAGGATGGCGCCAGACCGTGCATGTGGGTAGCCTTAGCTAAGAAAATACTAAAAGTGGTCAGTAAGAAGGTCTTACCTCCAGGGTGTTGTCTTGGACGGGTGTGGGTTGGTCCAGGAGAGTATGGAGATGGAGCTTCCCCCGCTGTACAGATATTCTAGAAGAGCGGAGGCGGCCTCCGTCCTCTTTTATAGCGACCACCTTCCCCGACTCCAGCAGGGCCTTCATGGGGTCAGTAAGCCTTCGTAGGTTCTCAACCTGTTGGGAAGAACTGACTACAATATCATGAACTGCATAAGTTACCGGAACACATTAATCTTCGCCAGGAGTTAAGAGCTAATGGTCTCGTTCCCTTGGCAGATTCTGATTAGCAACTCCAGTTACCAACCAGTGTGTCCCTTGTACTGTACATGAATATAACACCAAAAGTTGTGTGAAAATGTACGAGCTTTTTATATAACAAATCATAAACTTTGCGTTGGAACGTTTAGAGCTTGGCTTACTGGTTTAAACAAGGTTCCTTTTTTGTTTGTAGCTATAATAAATCTGGGAAATTTAATTTGTTGGAACTTACGTTTAATATTGGTGCTAGTTGGTTAACCTTTTCCATGATAGAGGTAGAGTCCCCCAAGGAGACGGCTGTACCATCATCTCCTGGGGTCTCCGTGATCATTTCCAAGGCCCTCTTGGTGTTCTCCCGCACCTGCCAGTACCAACAAATAAGATATTAAAAGCCAAGAGTGCGAGGAGGAGACTGATGATGCTCCAGCGTTCCTAAGCTTTGTAGTTTAAGAAACCGTTTTTCGGCCGAAGCTTTATCGATCAATATTACTGACAGTCACATACCATTAACAAAACTCAACACAACAAGATCCAGACCATAACTCATCTCAGAGAAAGACAGAAATTAGCCAGCAACGTACAGTACCTTGACGGAGGTGTGGACGGTGTTGACATCGGGGAAAATTTTTTGACAGTTCTGGATCCATTCTTCTGTCTTTACGTTGCAGCCATCATGGTCGTCGAGGTCTGAGACTGTCTTGTGCGATGTGTTGGCCGAGACCAGACTCTCCTGCATGGCCTGTAGCCGCTTAATTCCCTCCTCGCCTTTTTTCTGTTGGTACAGCAATATACTGAGCTCGCCCTCCAACAGTTTTAACGCGGCTTTGTTCTGTTCCGTTAGGATGTCGATCTTCGCCTGTAGGTCTTCATGTTGGCACTTCCAGTCTAGGAGCTGAGACTCGTACTTCTTCATTTGTGACAGTGTCTTCTGAAGGCCGCTGATGAGGTTGTTGATATTCTCTTCTTTCTCCTGCAGCAGTAACAGGTCTTCAGTAGGTGTGGGCGCTGATGCTGCTGTGAGTTGCAAGATTTTTAGTTTCCGTATGACAGCTTCCATAGCATAGCTGATTGGGAACTGGGTGGGTGACTTGGCCTTGTGTTCGACGCGGCATGAGGGGCAGGAGAGGTGTGACTTCTTGATCATGTCGGCCAGGCACAGGGAACAGAAGGTGTGGCCGCAGGGTAGAGTGCGCGGCCGACGTTTACCTCTGTCGTAGTTAGTGACGCACACATTGCACTCCTCTGGGTTGTCGTCTTTATCCTGTCCACCAGCATACAGGTTATGAGAAAATACAACTTTCTCGCTATGTAGACAGTTTAAGTGGTTTTGAGAACAGGTTGGTTATATTTTTACGTAAAAGTGAATATTAAGATCGTGGTTACTTTCATAAACTTCACTAGCAGCCGAGAAATCTAACTCAGTACGAAAAACATATTGCACATACTGTATATATTAGCATTGGTTAGAAAAGGAAATAGTTTTTACCTCACCATTTAAGAGTCCGTGAGAAGCAGGAACAGTAGCCCCAGTCGGTTATTGTTGAGTGTCAGTGGGAGAGGTCCCTTGAAGCTGTTGGGGTTCATCTATAAGCGTAGTTACCCAGCAGGAGGCAGGGGCGGGTGATGGTGTCTGAAGGCACAAGCTGTTACGTTATGGAACTGTGGTTAGTTGTTGGATGGAAACAGAAGTATATAATTCCATTTCTGACTGGATGAAAATTTCAGCACCCTAACTATAATTTGTTGTAACTCGCATACTGTTGCTAATTACCGGTATATGCTGTGTACGTGTACTGTTTCAGATAATGAAAGGATTCTATTATACTATTTTCCCAATCAGATGTAATGTGACTGAAACTACTCTGCGTAACTTACTGTATCAATAGGATTAATCAGGTATATTACATTGGTTGTTATTATGTATTACTGTATTTCATTAATTAAGGTCTTTTTAAGCACGTACTCTATGTAAGTAATTACACTAATCAGCAAATTGAAATTAAGAGATACGTAACTTACACTGGTTGTTATGGTAAGGTTATGTTAGCACGGTGCGTGGGTTAGTCGTCTCTGTCTCGTTACTCCCAATTTAAAGTTTGGAAGTGGTTACCGACCCGGGTCTGGCCTCCCATTTATTTTATGCAGGAGTGTCAGGTGTACGAGGCAAAGTTATTCGTAGTACGCAGGTGTAGTAAGTCGAAGCGTGCATCAGAGAACACTATTTATGGCAAGTATGAATGGACGAGTGGTGCCCGGAGATGGAACTATAGTAATCCTTATGACAGGAGGCGAGTGCTATGTCTTTCAACCACCACAACCCTAAGACAGACTTAAGAAAGTTATTCATGACTGTCATAAATTGTTGCTTTTTATAGTTAGTAAAATAAGTTTCGGCTACTCCAAGGTCGGTGGAATAGAACATGAGCGATTACAACCAACTGACGCCAGTAACTACAGGTATAGTACGTTTACAGTTTTCGCAGTTTCATATTGTTTCGCACGGCAAAGTGGTCGATCTTTTTTTTATTGACTGTACACTGACTGTGCGTAGCCGTCTTTTGCGAAATATATTTGGTGAGAGACTGGTCGATAGCCCAAACCAAGTTTTATTCATTGTTTTTATCTGTACCTGAAGTTGAAACCATATGCAGCCACTGTAAAAATCCTCCCCAAAAATAGCAATACACGTAAACAAGACTTGATATTCCATATTCTGTGTTTTGCTCAGTGTCGCTGACCGTCGCTCAAAAGCTAGAGTGTTCCAAGAAGAACCGAGAAAAATAAAATCTGATAAGTTTTATGGTAAAAGGCCAAAGCGTTCAGCAGAGGAGAACGATGATTCACCACGGAGATAAGTCTGACTGTGCCGTTTGAGAGATTGACCTCGATACATTTCAAAGCTTGTGGATCGTTAGTAAAAACGCTGTATACTATTTTTCATAAGTGGATTCAAGAGCCTTTTTAGTACATTCTGCAAAAATGTTTGTATTTTTAATGTCGTGTGTGACATTTACCGTCGACCATCACCAACAACAGTAAAGAGCTCTTTCATGTTTGATGTTGAGGAATCCTGACTTTTTTAACTGGATTTTTTTAAAGCGTATTGCAGTTCACGTTACTTGCTGGTTAACGGCTAATTGAGATACAGTTCCAGGACAACATAAACATTATTTAAAAGTTGGAATCTAACAATATGAAAAAAAACTTGTACCGTAAATATTGTTAGAATAAATTACTGCTCTGCATCACCTAATTCCAAGGCCTTTAAGTACATAGTTATATAAGATACTAAGCATCATATAATAAATATATCTCTTATATACCTCTGAGTCAGGCGAACAACTTTTGCTTTGTGAAGAGTGGGTCAGTTCCAACCAATAAGTTGTGGAAATTTCAAGGACAACTAAGATAAAAAATAATAAGACAAAACTTTTGATACCTAGAGCACTATTAATGTGTGCCAATGACCTGATCTCTGTCGCTAGAAATTAAACCTGCATTAATATCAAGAACTAATGTTTTTAACTAACGAACTGTTCATCCTACCTGAGGAGGAATAAGCTAAGAAAGGAAAATATTAAAGAAGTTTTACCGTACGATACAAAACCATATTTTAACACGTTCAGCAAATTTCTGTTTTGTTGTGATAAAATAATTACTCATTGCATGGCGGAACATAATGCATGGCGGGGTTTTTATTCAGTAGCACCTGAGCGTAGCAATCTGATTTTAACTCCCGGAAGTACGTGTGTGTGTGAGGCTGGTTATGGTGAAGGGTAGGTAGCTGTAACAGTTTCTATAAGCGGCTTGTATGTGGCCTAGCGCACACACACACACACACACGCCAAGAGATGTAAGTGAGGGTCAGGGTGTTGCTTCCTGTGTCAGCTCTTTGTTTATCTCCTTATAGTGTTATTGTTGTGGTTTAGCAGATCTAGGTGTTGTTAACCCATTAAATACGATATCAACCCCTTGAGTACAGTGTATTAGTCTTAATCACTCGAGTTTGATGTCATATTCCTTTAGATACGATGTTTTATTCCCTGAGTAAGATGGAAGTGTACTAAGAGGTTGTCATCATATTAAAGGAGTTAAGTAGCTACTGTTTACGAAGCCTTAACTTCTAAAATAAACAAAACAACCATTGAAACTAACAGACATTCATTCTTTCATATACGTAACATTTCCATGCATACGTCTCAAGTGCAATACAGACATTCTAAGCATATATTTTGCTGTATTTACCTTTTCTCGAAGCCAAGGTGAGTCGTCAACGATTCTCGGAGCAGCAGAGACACCAGTAGGAAAGAACACTTGGCACACTCGTTTAGGCACAAGCGACGTGGGGCAACTGGGTAGCTCATGGCTGGTCTGGCGCCAGAATAAGAACGGCGACACTTCACCAGACCTGTTACGTCATCTTACTCTAGGTTAATTATATCAAAGGTTGTGTTCAGGTGTACCCACCGCTCCTCGCTGCTCGTGGGGATGTGTTGATGTGAGGAATGAGTTGTGTTTATTGAGAGAGTTCACTTAACTACTGTACATACCTCAATAAAACGATCATAATCCGTTTGACTTTAAATGTCATATAATACACTATTGATAGATTAATATTTATTTTATTAAATGTGAAATGAAATATATAACAAATAGTTCTAGAGATTATCGAGTATTACAGCCCCGTGAAGATACAGACCTAAGACCTCAACAATATTACAAAGGTAAATTAATAGTTTATGTAATTCATATGGATAGATTAAAAAAAAACAACAACAACAGATAAGCGTAGTTACTTGGCTCATAATCTAAGCATACCCGTCACTCAGCGCTGGACCGGGTCTGTAGTAATGTTTTTTCGGTATCTGTTGAAACGATTGCAACAAAAGAGAGAAAAATATAAGAAAAAACAACGAAGACTCGGTGATTTTCTTCCCAGAGTAAATTGATTAACATAATTAAGAAATCTGAATATGGCAGTCCAACGGGTGGCATTTTAATATATCTACAGTTTCAACAAAATTAAGAAATAAAACTTTAATTCAGTTAATGCCGTCAAAAGGAAATTTCTTTTTCTTATTATATGCAAATGAGGTTAATAACCAGAGTTGTGTCAGAAAAAGTCACCTTAAAACTTTTAGAAATTCACTTTAGTTTTATCAGCGAGATTACATAATGCTGTTCATGGTTTTTAGTATCGTTTCATAATAATTTTTTGGGAACGAATTAATGATATCTCTAGATTTTATGTATCACCATACATAAATATACTAGATAGGATATTAGTAAAGTATTAATTTGTCCCCAAAAAATAATTTTTCTGCAGTATTAGCCGTTTAGTTCACCGTGAGAGAGGTTCCATTCTAGCACAGTTACTAATGGATGTAAAACAAAAATGTCCACCATCACGCGCCTGGTTTTCATCAAAGCACAAACCACTTTCTATTTTCATTTTCATCCCGGAAGCGAGAAATGTTTAGATGGAGAAGATAATAAGTTTTTCCAGTTGCGTAAATGACAGACAGCTGAACACCACACTCTCACAGGCCAGGGGAAACCAGTCGTTATTTTTATCAACACGTCAAAAAATATATATATATATTTTTTCTAATGATGGTAAACTTTTTTTTTATGAATTTCTATTAATATCAGTTTTCATCTAATTTTCGAATGATTTCAGTTTGCGTTTGAATCCAGAAAAACGGACAGAAAGACTTACTCTGAGTTTTGAACGAGTAATTCCATTAATTCCGAATGATTCCACCGTTCGTTCACATCTCGTTCAGTTCGTTGATCTCATCGTAGTATTGATTAATCCGACAACTTGTGTAAATCTTGATCGTAATTCACACTGCATTGAATCTTAATAATAATAATAATAATAATAATAATAATAATAATAATAATAATAATAATAATAATAATAATAATAATAATCGTTTCCAAATACTGAAAACGAAAGGGCATAAAGTTTTATCATCAATTCTCGCGAGAAACTCGACGAAATATCGAATATCTCCAGCATTTATCCGGACCTCAATCGCGTCCATTTTGCGTTTAATCCTTGGGCAAGAAAAGTCGTGTCCATATTCGGAGAGAAAAATATAGCACAGAAAGCTTTGTAAATTACCAGTGGAGGAGACTCAACAGAATAATCGAATAATTTCAGCGTTATATTCGAATCTCGGTTAGTTTCCGTTTGTTTCGAATTCATGAAAAAGAAAATGTCAATATGTGTCTAAAGCTTTTGAAGAAGTGCATCATAATGATATGTAATTCCAGTATTTTATGTGACTTTCAATTAAACATGACTTAAAAATCGTTTAATTTTAGCGTTTTATGTAAATTCAAACTAACTCTACATGCCATCATCTCCTCAATTTTTGACCCAAATAATCATCATTCCTACATTACATCTAACCCTATATAGGAGGAACAACCCCGGTCGTATCGAAATCCCGTAACACAACGTCCATCAGGCTTCACCACGAATACTCTCACTGGAAACACGACATGAATAGTTGAATACTGCCTCCCCTCCATCATCTCTTTATCATCGCGTACAGCCTCACCAATTTGCAGCGACGGTGTCTCAGCCCCGCGGCTCCCCTGGCCACATGTGCATCAGCTGATACATTCAACTTTAATCTCTAATGTAATTATGAGCATCCCTATCTCCCAGACCTGGCTCCTGCCGCCGCCTCCGCCTCCTCCACCACCCTGCACCATCGTCGCCTCCTCCTCCTCTTGCTTCTCCTTGCCCATTATCTCTCCTCTTCCCCTTCGTCATCACCGTCTTTGGGGTTATTTCTTTACTCTCTTTGGGTTTATTTGAGCCATCCTCATCATTATCTCGTGGTCTTATGTTCATGGGTTTTGTTGGGCCCTTCCATATTTCATTCTTAAATTTGTTTACATTATAATCTGTTTCTTTTTTTCTCAGTATTATCGCTCTCTGGGATTCTTCCTTCATTCTGAACTCTACTCCTTTCCCTCAGTCTTTACACTTGTTTATATTTTCCATTTTCTTACCATCGTTGTTAATCTATAAACAATCGTCTTGGAATGTTATTATAGGGAGGAAAAGGGTGAGGAAAGGAAGATAGTCTTTTGTTTCTTGTTTTTGTTTTCGTTGTTTCTTTTGGTCACGTGTTTGAATGTTACTAAAGGTCTCGAGTCATTATGTTTTTCTTAGTTCTTTATTGTTACTATGTTGTTCCTTTTGTTTCCTATCTCTTTCTTTTTTCTTCCTCATTGTATTTTCCTGCGTCATTTCCTTCCTTCCTGCCTTTCTTCCCCCTTTCATATTGCTGTTGTTGACTCTTTATCCTCTTCCCCCTATCCCATTGTAATGCTTTTATTGTTGTTCATAAATCCTCTGGGTGTGCGGCGACCGAGTGACTATAACGCTCGCTTCCCGTCTTAAGGGTCGCTGGTTCGTACACGGGGCACCCCTTACTAACCCAGCTGGGAATGGGTACCTAATTTTCCAGTTGGGGAAGTGAAAGTAGTGCCAGCCATTGTTCCTCGTGTACACTGCCCCTAACAGACCGTCAGGCCTATGGGACCCACTTTAAAATTAATTAGTACAACTGGCGAAATCATCCTCTTCCCTCCCTCTCCTGGCCAGTACACCTGCTGGCTGGTCCTCCCTCGTCACCGCCACCTTCGGAGCCATTAACTAGTCCTTATGAATCCACAATTTAAAAGTCCTTTGATATCGAGCTCAGGATCGGGGATTCCCCTTTGATCTTAACTCCGCCCCCGGGGGAGCAGGTAATTGAATACCAGGACGTCGGTTGGTAGGCAAAAGTTCCGGCGCAAATGAACGAAAATCCAATTGGGGTTTCATTGAAGTTGTTTCCGTGAGGCACAGGGGCTGTCTGCCCATGTTGCCGAGAGCGAATTTTTTATTGGAGAATGTGAGATCGGAGTGGAGGCGTTTGAAGTTTTCTTTCCCGTGAAATGCTTCTGAACGAGATGATGATGAGGACGGTGTATTGTGGGGTGTGTGACTGACTGACTGGGCGTGGTCCTGCTCACCTGGTGACTGGGCGTGATCCTACTCACCTGGTGACTGGGCGTGGCGCTACTCACCTGGTGATTGGGCGTGATCCTACTCACCTGGTGACTGGGCGTGGCGCTACTCACCTGGTGATTGGGCGTGATCCTACTCACCTGGTGATTAAGCGTGTGCCTGATTATCATCACGCAACCCAATTCCCATGACCTTCGTAGAAACATCCAGTAATATTTATCAATACTAGTCACAACCTCAATCATTACCTAAAGCAAATACATAGTAGTTCTTGGTATAGGTATTGAGTAACATACTTTGCACCATTAAGGAGTAAGTTTTTTTCTTGATGATTAATTTTTCTGGAGAGACGAAGACGCGTGAGTGGAAGGCCTGAGACTAACAAGAGATGTGTCAAGGGAAGGTTGTCTCGGAGTCACAGCCCCAGCGACCGTTAAAGAGCAACACAGTGGCTTCTTCAATTTTATTTTCCTGGTTTTGTTCTATAACATTTCCATCTTATTTACACCGTCTAGATCACCACTGTGACTTATGAGAGAAATATTGATCTATTTGTAGACTGGTTACGGAAGATAATGCCTCAACTGGCTGGATTTTGTACCCATTTTCTGCTAGTGAATGTTTAGTGTGTTTATGGTAGGGGTTGTGTGTTTATATCTGTCCGTCAACAACCACGATGTTTACGCTCGTGTTGTAAGCCAGTTCAAACATCACATAACTAATCACAAATTCTGTAAAATAAAAAAAAATCTGTCAACTAATTATATTTGTCTGGATATTGAATGTTGTGGAGGGATTTTTATTATATTTTTTTATGTAATTTTTTTTTCGGTGTGTTGCTATTTTGTTCCTTATCTTGTGACATAATACGACTCTTTTTACTCGTCACTAAGGAAGTCTACTTGATTATTGAGTTACTTTGTTGTATTCTGAAATGTGTTGGATCCGCCAGTCTTATTGGTTTAGGTTTAGGTTGAGTTAATGGGGTCTGGTATGACTGGGGCCAATATACCACTTGTAACCCGCGTCACTATACCTATCTCCCCACAACTCTCTGTCCTCCGTCTTAACTTCCCCACTCCTCTCCCCACTCCTCTCCCCACTCCACTCCCCACTCCATTTAACTTTCTTGGCTCCTCTACTCGACACATGAATTCCCTTCTGCCTAAGTTTCTCTCTCTCTCTCTCTCTCTCTCTCTCTCTCTCTCTCTCCTTTATAGTCTCAATTTCTTCTTCCTTCTTCCCCTTCTCGCGTATCATTATCACGAAATTTTACCATCTTCTTCTTCTTCCTCAGTTCTCGCCTTATTTACCCTCC